AGCAGTGGATCTACGGTAGAGGGGAGGTGGGAGGCTGGGAGAAGTTGAGGGAGGGGAACTGTGGTCAGGTTGTAATGCATGAGAGAAGAATAAAGATAGATAGATAGATGATAGATAGATAGATAGATAGATAGATAGATAGATAGATAGATAGATGATAGATGATAAAGAGATACGTAGATAGACAGATCGATCGACAGATAGAGTATCCATGCTTACTCTCCTGCTGTCAAACTCCAGAGCATTTTGTGCTTTTGTTCACACACACAATATTAGCCATATCTTGAGACAGAGAAAAACAAATAGATGACTAGCATGATGGTCTGAAGACAATGACCATTTTGTATGTTAATACAAAGTGTTCGTGTATGTGATTTCTAAATGTTGCCTTCCACTGAAAGGCACTCTAGTTCTTTGAAAATATAATAAATTCCAGAATTTTGGCAAGAAATATAGAAGCCAGAGATGGAAAAAAACGGGCTCTCAAGAATGATGGGTATATCAAAAATTTGCTGACTAGATACAGAATAATTTGATCATGAAAATATTTTTGTATAACATCTCTTCAATTTGAGTTTGCATTTTTTTTTTTTTTTTGTTAGATTAGACAATGGTTAAAGGTTTGGAAGAAAAAGACCACAAAAGTAACCTTCCTCCATTGCTGGTGGGACTGCAAACTTGTAAAGCGGCATTTTTTGTCACAAGGCCAGTTTTTTGTTGTTGTTGTTGTTTTGTTTGGTTTTTTGGGTTTTTTTGCCATCAAAGTCTTCTGTATCTAATGACCTTAATATGGCATACCTGGTTCATGGAGAGGTGGCTAGAATTTCCTGCAACCATAAAGTCACTATTGTTAGTTATTCCCCAGTTATCTCTTAGTAGGCAAAAACAGACTATGATATGAACCTCACACTGGAAAGATGGATTGAGAACTACAATTTGTTGTACCTCATCTGGACAAGACGAACATCCTTTTCTCCCAGTTTGTTATTATTCAGTTTTAATATGTAATAGTGAACTAATGGACATTTATTTTATAATGAATCCATAATCTATAAGTATTTTATTTGTTACTCAAATTGTATTTACATATGTATTTAATTACATATAATGAATACTTATATTTATAATATTAACAACCCACCAAATAAAAAAAAATAGTTTGGAATATGTGCTTAAATTTCAGAAAGCTCTAAATAAATAATTTATACATTGCATTATAATTCTACAGTCTTGCAGTTTTCTGCCAGATTAATTCTTAAACGAAGAATTAAGACAAGAATGAAAAGAGATAAAAATGAAGGTGGAAAACAATAGGAGAGAACAAACAAAACCACTTATTTATCCTTAATCTGAACAGTTTGATAAGCACTGGAAATTGGATCATGGTTCTTTACAATGTGATGTTTCAGACAGAGAAGGATGAATTGAAGAAGACTTTAATTTCAGATATTTAAAAAAAAGGTATGTTCTCAAATCTCCATTCTAAAAATCAATTTGCTGTCCTGCTCAGCAGTATCCTCACTCAGCACTACCCTGAATGGTTTGTCTAGTCTCCTGTACTTCCTGTAATAAAGGTGACTAAAAGTGTTAAGTGACAATTCTTCAAGCCATAATCAAGAAATATTCCAACATACACCATATGTGTTAACACATGATAAAATTATTTCTGTAGCCAAATGTTTCTATTTGGCATTTCCTTTCTTTGTTGTGCTATTTCAAATAAAATATTTATTTCAAATAAAACTGTTGTTCTTTGTTGTGCTATTTAAAATAAAATTTCCTCTTAACTTATCAGCATTCTGTGGTAAGAAACAGGGTGTGTATACGTTAAGTAAGTAATCATCTTCATTTTCCTGGTAAGAGTCTCAAATCCAGGTTTATTCATTCATATGCAGTAGCTTACATGAGACCATTGTCTGCATGCTGCATGAGTGTCCTAAATTCAATTAGTGAAAATGAACTCATTTCTCTTATCAAATTGTCTTTTCTCTATGCAGGTTTTTTAATAATGAGGCTAATAAGTTCAACACATCAAAACACTAGCTTAAAGGTTATTTTCTCTGCCATAGAATTTTATTTACCCTTTTTATATATTTTATTGCATTTTATTTTTGTTAATTTTTATTTTTTATATTAATCACAGGTTATTTACTTTGTATCCCAGCTTTAGCCCCCTCCCTCATTCCCTCCCAATCCCACTCTCCCTCCCTCATCTCCTCCTTGCCCCTTTCCAAGTCCACTGCTAGGGAATGTCCTCCTCCCCTTCCATCTGACCCTAGCTTATCAGGTATCTTCAGGACTGGCTGCCATGTCCTCCTCTGTGGCCTAGCAAGACTGTTCCTCCCTCAGCAGGGACAAATAAAGGATCCAGTCATTGAGTTCATGTCAGAAATAGTCCCTGTTCCCCTTACTAGGGACACACTTGGTTACTGAGCTACCATGAGCTACATCCGAGCAGGGTTTCTAGGTTATATCCATACATGGTCCTTTGTTGGAATATCAGTCTCAGAAAAGAACCCTGTGCCCAGATTTTTTGTTTCTGTTGCTCTCTTTGTGGAGCTCCTGTCTGCTCCTGGTCCCACTATCTCCCCCTTCTTTTAGAGGATTCCCTGAACTCTGCCCAAAGTTTGGCTATAAGTCTCAAAATCTGCTTTGAGTCACTGCTGGGTAGAGTCTTTCAGAAGTCCTCTGTGGTAGGCCCCTGTCCTGTTTTCTGTTTTTTCCTTCTTCCAAAGTCCATACCATTTGTCTTTTGAAGTGAGGATTGATCATCTTACCCAGGGACATCCTTCTTGCTTAGCTTCTTTAGGTGTACAGATTCTAGTATGTTTAGTCTATATTACAGGTCTAGTATCCATTTATAAGTGAGTAGATATTGTATGTGTCTTTCTGCTACTGGGATACCTCACTCAGGATGATCTTATCTAGATCCCATCATTTGCTGTAAATTTTATAATTTCCTTGTTTTTAATTGCTGAGTACTATCCCATTGTGTAAATGTACCACAATTTCTGTATCCATTTCTGAGTTGAGGGATATCTGGGTTGTTTTCAGATTCTGGCTATTATAAATAAAGCTGTTAGGAATATGTTTGAAGAAACATCCTTGTTGTGTACTTGAGGATGTTTTGGATATATGCCTAGAAGTGGTATGGCTGGATCTCAAGGAAGCAGTATTCCTAACTTTCTGAGAAAGTGCCAGATTGATTCCAAAGTGGTTGTACAGGTTTACATTCCCACCAGCAATGGATGAGGGTTCTCCTTTCTCCACATCTTCTCCAGCATGTGTTGTCACTTGAGTTTTTACCTTACCCATTCCGTTTTGTGTAAGGTGAAATCTCAGGGGTGTTTCTCTGCCATTTGATATTCTTCTATAGAGAATTCTCTATTTAGTTCTGTACTCCATTTTTTAATTGGATTACTAGATTTGTTGTTTTTTTAACTTCTTGTGTTCTTTATATATTCTGGATATTAGCCCTCTGCCAGATAGAGGGTTGGTGAAAATCCTTTTCCAGTCTGTTGGCAGTTGTTTTGTTCTGATGACACTATCCTTTGCTTTACAGAAGCTTTTCGGTTTCATGAGGTCCCATTTATTGATTGTTGCTCTTAGAGGCTGTGCTGTTGGTGTTCTGTTCAGGAAGTAGTCTCCTGTGCCAATGAGTTCAAGGTTGTTCTTCACTTTTTCTTCTAACAAGTTTAGTGTGTCTGGTTTTATGTTGAGGTTTTTGAGCCACTTGGACTTTAATTTTGTTTAGGGTGATAAACAAAAGTAAACTTTAGTTTGTTTAGGTGATCTATTTGCATTTTTCTACATGTAGACATCCAGTAAGACTGACACCCTTTGTTGAAGATGCTGTCTTTTATCCATAGTATAGCTTCTTTGTCAAAAATTAAGTATTCATAGGTGTGTGGGTTTATTTCTGGGTCTTCTAGACATTTTTTTAATTCTCTATATAATGCACAGAACTCTCTTTCTTTCTTTCTTTCTTTCTTTCTTTCTTTCTTTCTTTCTTTCTTTTTCTCTGTCCCTGAGTTCTAGGACTTATAGATTTGGAAACCATTTTTTAATCTTTTTTATTAATGTGATCTTCTTTAATATGATGTTTCTGTGTACAAGGTACTGTTTCATTTTGTTTCAGCATTCTCTAAAAATAATCAACACTTGGATTTAAATTATATTTATTCATGAAACATTTGTATTTATCAGACTAAAGTTTGTGTCAGTGTGTGTAGAACATTCTTTTCTACCCTATTAAATTTATTGCAGGCAGTTCCTGGCACATAATTCAAGTGATCATAGTATATTCAGCAAGCTGTCTAATGCTAAGAGCACCTTATAAAGTACCAGATTGCTTATCTGTCTTTCATGTCTCACCACTCTCACATCTTCATAGAAAACCAATAGCACATGTGGATTCTGAACTCTTTCTCCTGCCAAGATTTTATATGATCATTCCAGGAACCATATGGAATTGAACTTGGAAGAAACAAATGAAAAGATAATATGCCATCACTTTGCAACTTGAAAAAGCAATTCAAATTAGCAATAAAAAATAAACAAGCATAGAATAAGAGCAAAGATATCAGTTACTACTGTCTTTAATAATGCTTTTATTCCTTGAGAATTTCACACACTGTATTTTAATATTTATCCCTCTCTCACAACTTCTCCCTTGTTCTCCTCTATCTCCTTACTCCTCAGCTTCATATTCTTTCTTTAAAAAAAATCTGCCTAGTTTGAACTAGCTGATTACTTCTGAGCACTGGGCTTGCTCTAGATTGTGGTCCATATCTCAGGTGTCACAACACTTAAGGAAACTGTCTTTCACTCTCCCAGCAGCAACTGAATGCCAATATCTCTTCAGGTATGGATGTGACTTTGTGCCTATCCACAATCATCCATTCTGGAATTTTATCTAACTGTGGCTAATGTATGTCTTGTTCATGCTTGTCACAGTCTCCATAAGTTCATATGGGTATTTGTCCTGCTGTCTCTGGAAGTCATCCATCACCTCTATCTTTAACAATCTTTCTGCCTTCCTGTTCTGCATAGATCATTAAGCCTTGAGGAGAAGGATGTGATGTAGACATTACGCTTAGGACTGAGCATTCCTGAGGTCTTTTATCATCTGCACATTGCACAGTTGGCAGGTTTCTGTGTTGATTATCATCTGCTGCAAGAATTTTCTCTGATGAGGGTTGAGAGATGCACCGATTTATAGATGTAGCCTTGTCATTATTCTACCAGCCAGACAAGGAGATGAAGAGTACTTTGTCAGGTTTGGTTCTGTGATACATAGTGGATTAAGAGAGATAGGAGTGCACAGAGGCAAATGCACTTAGTCCCAGGGCCATGTTCATGCATATAGAGATGTATGCAGCCTTTTCTGTTATTTTCTGCTTTTTTTGTATCACAAACAAATCTCTGTATTTCCCAAGAATGTTCAAGGGCTTGGGAAAAGGAATTAGAGAAGTGAAGGGAGGTGGCCTGGAGCAAAACAGGAATTGATGAATTAGAAATATCTTGATGAGGGATGAAGACTACAATTATCTGTGGTGTTTATGGATTATTGTCAGGGATTATGCTGGTTTGGTAAACTAGTGGTTGTAGATTGCTACATACTAATCATGATTTTACTAGCCCTGAGTAGTTAGATAGGTTGCTATATTAGGCATACTACTCTTGTTGAGTAGATCATATACCCAATTAGAGAGCAGTTAGTTGCTGCCTGCCAAGGGATGTGCCATACTGAATCAGTACAGTCATCATAACACCCTGGCCACTGATGTGTTTTATAGTGTCATAGTTGGGAAAGACTGTTGGTTGCCTTCCTCTTTTAGATGTTTGCATGGAGTCTTCTTAAAGCAAGGAAACTACTCTTCTTCTCATCCCTAAAGTCACCTCTTATTTGTTATTAAGTCTTTTATTTTTCTGTATCATGCATATAATTTGTGTCAACTGTTTTGCTAAAAGACAATTTTACAAAAGACAGAATACTATCATTGGCAGACTAAAAGTAACTTGCATGGTAAATGAGTTCTAAAAAATAGTGATAAAGTTTATTTTACCACTCCTAGGTATATATCCAAAGTATGCTCAAGTACACAACAAAGAGATTTGCTCAACCATGTTCGTAGCAGCTTTATCCATAATAGTCAGAACCTGGAAACAACCCTGATGTCCCTCAACTTGGGAATGGATACAAAAATTGTGGTACATTTACACAATGGAATACTACTCAGCAATCAAAAACAAGGAAATCATGAAATTTGGAGGCAAATGTGGGATCTAGAAAAGATCATCCTTAGTGAGGTATCCCAGAAGCAGAAATATACACATGGTTTATACTCACTTATAAGTGGATATTGGACATGTAATATAGGCTAAACATACTAAAATCTCTACAACTAAAGAAGCTAAGCAAGAAGGAGGACCCTGGGTAAGATGATCAATCCTCACTCAGAAAGACAAATGAGATGGAAATGGAAAAAGGAGAAAACAGGAAACAGTACAGGAGCCTACCACAGAAGGCTTCTGAAAGACTCTACCCAGCAATGTATCAAAGCAGATGCTGAGACTCATAGCCAAATTTTGGGCAGAGTGCAGGGAATCTTATGAAAGAAGGGAAAGATAGTAAGACCTGGAGGGAACAGGAGCTCTGCAAGGAGAGCAACAGAACCAAAAAATCTGGGCACAGTGTTCTTTTCTGAGACTGATATTCCAACCAAGGACCATGTATATATAACCTAGAACCCCTGCTCATATATAGCTCATGGTAGCTCAGTATCCAAGTGGGTATCCTAGTAAGGGGAACAGGGACTGTCTCTGACATGAACTCGGTGGCTGGTTCTTTGATCACCTCACCCTGGGGATAAGGGAGCAGCTTTGCAAGGCCACAGAGGAAGACAATGTAGCCAGTCCTGATGAGACCTGATAGGCTAGAGTCAGATGGAAGGGGAGAAGGACCTCCTCTATCAGTGGACTTGAAGAGAGGTACGGGAGGAGATGAAGGAGGAAGAGTGGGATTGGGAGAGAATGAGGAAGGAAGCTACAGAAATCAATAAACTGTAATTTATATAAAAAATAAAAATTTCAAAAAAAAAACAGGCATATACAAACAATATTCCATCTTCAAATAGATGTGGAATGTATGTAACTGGACAGAAACTGGCTCTTCATTTAAGGTCCATGAAGCAGTGACTCATGATCACTGGTTCTGCTGTATAGGCTTTTCCCACCTACTCAGCCTATACCTGTGTCTTCATGAGGAATTCTTTCCTATCTTATGCAAAAAAGAGAGAGAGCCTTGAATATGGTTACTAATATGCAAGAATCACCTAAAAGTGGATAACTATGCAATTTCACTACCATTTTTTTATATTCAGAAAACTTACTCCACAAATACACGATTATGGCAGTTTTCTGTGCTCACTATATTCCCCACTACTCTAAGCAGCTTTCTTAGATATGATTGAGAAACAACAATTTAAAGGCTCAGTTATGCTGCTAATCGCAGTAACTTGAAGGGTCACAGAAAGATGCTTCAGAAAGCTGTTAACTCTCTGAAATGGTGCTTTAGACATTGTTTTTCTAATGTAAGGATTTGGGGTTCCAAATTTATAAAGGTGAAAATGAGGGAGGTCCCTTTTATCTTTGTGCTTCAAGACCTATTGGTGAAATTTTTGCTTACTTTATGTCCTGCTGGCTTAAAAATTATGTTTCCAAAAATAATAACAATTCCCCCAGGTGATATATCAATTATTTCATTGGCCTAGAGACTTAGCCCATACACCTTTAACTCTATGTCAACAGACCAAAAAGAATGGTATGGTTTGATGGTCTCTATCAATGTTGAGTACCAAGAGTAAATTAGATTTTGAACTCACAATAGGAATACAAAAAATACATGTTGAATGTGGGTTATCCATGAGAAGTTCTCAGTTTTATTATTCATTATGACTAAATGAACAAATAACTCTAACAACTCAGTGTCAACATGCCTTAGAATGATCTGAACAATTCAGGAATGAAAGTTTAAAGTGCCTTACCAGATAAAGAATCAGAACAAACTAAACTGCTTACTAAAGAGTGAGAAAACAGAAAATGGAGGAAATGGCTGTCAAGAGTAACTAAAATTAACACATTATAGAACCAACACAAAGTTTGTTATGAGAGCTTTTCATAAACAAGGTTATATCTATATTTATATCTATAATGAACAGACATCTTTGGTTATTTTCTTACTGCCTAAATATGTTACATATACAGACTGAGGTTTTAACCATGTAGGCAATTATTTATTTTATGTTGCAGTATAACATGAAAAATCATAAAAAAAGTAAATGTAGCTCAGAAGTTTTGTTTTATCTCATAGAGAAGGATTTATCACATTTTTGTTTATGGGTAAGATTCATGTGTTTGGTGGCTTTACAACTTTGTAATTTCTTTGTTTGGAAGTTAAATATGATTTAGAGAGAAATTATTGATATCAAGTAGACAAAAGCTGTCTTTTACTTCACTAAATCTGAAACCATTGCTAGGGTGGATCAAATGATTATAAATGACTAAAACAGAGTTCAACAGATGTAATACTTGAGTTCTTGTGTTGACTGAAGTTTAGCAAAGCAATATCCTCTTTCCTTCTATGTTTGACCTATTTTCAGAAGGTTGAACAGGTTGGAGTTCTCGTTACCTTCCCCCTTCCCATGTAGTCATTCTATGTTGCATCTTGAATTTTTTTCAAGAGCCAGAAAAATTTTTACATTCAAAATTAACAATGCCTACTGTAGGCTTAGATTTTTAAACAAACCTACTTTATTTAGGGTTTTTAAACACTTCTACCTCTCTTCCAACCCACTGGCCAGAAGTAGGGGAAAAAGAAGGTTATTAGGAAAAGGGGATTGTAGACTTTTAGAAATAGTTCCTTGGGAAGAGTCCACTCTTCTTTGTCTAGATACCAACAGTTGAGTCCAAATGGCAACACCAAACAGCAACAAAAATCAGCATTATTTACAAGTCAGTGAAACAAGTCACTGAAAGTCACAAGACTCAGTTGGATTGCCCTTAAAAGTTCTCTGGAACGTTCTTCATTCTCTGCAAAATGAAGTGCTGAAGTATGAAGACCAGCAAGACCAGCGCAGCAATGTTGATTCAAAAACCATTGTTTCACTGTTCATGGAGATAGTAAAATACAGGTGATATGAAAGAAGGGAGGAGATAATGGGTTTAAAGGTGTAAGTAGGGAGATATAAGAGTTTGTGAGGTAGGGAGTGAATTAGCCAAAACTAAGAATGTATGAAAAAGCCTTATGGAAACCCACTACTTCTTTTTTGTTTTTGTTTTTGCTTTAAGGAGTTCAAATGGAAAGTCTCTATAGGCTGCTCCCAGGAAATACGGGTTATTAAATAAATTCACAGTGTCGGTTTAGGATACTTCCTCATGAGTCATGGATTTTAAGAAACAAGTTTTTAAGTTTTTGAGAGACAATATGCTCTTTTCATTGTTCTTGTTTCTCTCTCTCTCTCTCTCTCTCTCTCTCTCTCTCTCTCTCACACACACACACACACACAAAAAAAAAAAAAAAAAAAAAAAAAAAAACATTGTAAAACCCTGTTATTGAAGACATCTTATACTTTGGCTGTAGAAGTGGAGAAATCAATCTCAGACCAACCAAGAAATCTCTACCCTGCTAGATAGCTTTCATAGTCTTAGAAGGTGCTATTTATGCTTCTGGAGAAGAAATAACACAGTCACACCCAGAACTGAACCCTACATACAACAATCCTGACCTACCAGAGAAGATATGGCCATTAGTGTAATAGTGGTATAACTGTTAAGGGGTAACCGACAACTGCTCTCTGAACAGATCCGAGGCTGCTCCACAGAAGGGAATTCATGCCAGGTACTGTAAACCTGTAAAGCGGAAAGCCAAGAACAGAAAACATCACGGAAGTGGAGGCAATAAGGATTTAAGAGCTGGGGAGTGGGGGTGGGAAGAAATGTTGTAAACTTACAGCAAATTCTGTGACTTGTACAAGATGTACACAATAGTTAAGTAAGTCAAACTTCCAAAATAGACAAGAGAGGGTTCAAGGAAGCTCTACCCATAACTGAGGGGCTACTGTTGTTCAATAGATGCTGGAAAGAGAAAATTATTCTTCAGCAGTTTGGCCATAGGTAGGTTTTCAGTCCTCCAGTGTATGATACCAAACTATGTACAGATGGGCAACATAAAATAGACTTTGTGGGTTATTTTAAAAGAAAAAGAAGACAAAAGAGGACATGAAGTTGGGAGGAGAACATCTAAAGAGAGTTCCAGGGGTGTGAGAAAAAGGAAATGGGGCTGGGTATGATCATATCACTATGCATACATATTAAATTATCAAAGAATATAAAACTTTTAAAAACAAATAAATATAAAATAAATATTATTTTGATTTGGTTTCAAATATAACTATAGTAGCAACAAAAAAAAAACTGTTTAATGCCAAGTTTAGAAAAAAAGTTTTGTGTCTTGTTCTTGTTTCCAGTTAGCAAAGTTCATTTAATAGTGAACTCTCTTCACGTGACATCTAAGCAGTGAGATTAGAAAATGGACTGATCTCAAGACAGCAATGACAATCTCTTCTTTCATCGTTCTCCTGGAGACATGGCAGGTGTAGAGAGGACATAAAGGAAGCCTGACTCAGCATAATTTAATACAGGTATAAGCAAAGATTACAATTAGAGACTGGGCTATCAACATGTGCTGGACAAAATATTTACTATGCAGTAGACTTTTCAATTACGTTATTACATGAAAAAAATTTAAATATCTCTATGATAAATAATTTACATACAATTATTCACCTGCCTTAAATATGTACTTCTATAAATTTTAAAAGTAAATTTACAAAATTGTACAATTCTCACTTTGCCCAACTGTATTCCTTTTTATGGAGTTCTGCTCAAGGATTCAGCAAGGTAAGAAGTCAATCAGTTAGTTATCTTTTTTTTTTTAAATCATATTGTTCCCCAAACTAAGCCTAATTTTCCATGAACTGAGCACTAAGCTGAATCCCACATGGACAGATTAATATCTAGAAATGCTGATGCAATCTCCCATATTGTGAGCTGACATTCAGTATCTCTCCAGAATTCCTATTTGAGTAATGGTTCACCTCATATCTTATGAAGAATTTAGCTTAGCCAGGAATGGTAATCTTGGTCTTGAAAAGGACAGATTCCATTTTCTTATCATTTATTAGCATATTCTGAAAAATTTTGACCATCCATAGATGAAAGACTCCCTTAGGACTTAAATACTAGGAAAATAGGAAACTAAAACAAAATAACATTACTGAACCATCTAACACTGAATAGGTTTCCTTATAAATTTAGAACTGGCTCAGAACTATGTACTTATTATATTATGTTCAGTTGATATGCCTAGGAGGCCTGCTCATTTTTCAAGGGAAATGAAGGAGCAAATGAAGTAAATAAAAGAGTTGTTGGGGAAGACTTAAAAGAGTGGAGAGAGGGAAAACTGTGGTAGGTATCTAACGTATGAAAGAATAAATATAGAAAATTAGAATTGGCTTTGTCACCAAATGTTGTCATACAACTTCCTGTCTGCATTTAACAACCAACCGCACAGCCACTGGCAAGCAGTTCTGGCCCTAACAGGCTCAATTTATGTTAGCAAGAATATTTCTGCTTTACAATTCTGTGAGAAAGAAAATTTAGTTAATGCAGACTTCCCTCTGAATGAAAGTCTCCGGCCTGCAGAAATGGCTCAGTGGTTAAGAGCACTGGCTGTTCTTCATGAATTCAATTCCCAACAACCACATGGTGGCTCACAACCATCTATAATGAGATCTGGTGCCCTCTTCTGGTGTGCAGGCAGAACACTGTATATGTAATTAATAAAAATTTGCTTCCTTAAACAGTAAGTTTTTAGGAAATAAAACATAATGCTTTTGTCTTGAAGAAAATAGCAGAAGAGTTTACAGTCTTCTGCTTAACCGTGGACATCAAAATCATGGGGCTACATAAATTCAATTCATCTCCATTTTTTTTGACATATGTAACTTTGAATGTAGACTTCGTTCTGAATACACTTATACACTTTTCTTCATGCAAACCTCATAGCCCACTTCCAATAGACGCTTCCATAAACACTTCAGCTCAGACTTGAGGTTATTTTTTGCTACAAGGTGCACTGTTTTTGTTTGTTTACTACACTCACAAATTTTCTCCTCTTGTAAATGATTTACATATGGGAAAAACTTTTAATAATTTTGTATTATCATTATTCATCATGCAAGCACCAAAAAGTATAGCTCATTGGAATGTTTTATATAGAATGCTTGATTTAAAGAATTCTCAAAGTTCTTAGCTTTAGTTTTATAAACTTTTTCACCAACAAACATCATGATATATGTTACATGGATTAGAATAAGTGAGGGAAAATGGCATTAAGAGATTATCAAATAGACCACGTGCCTGTGACATATTTACCAAAACTGGGCATTCCATACATACTAAAAGTTTATTTTATCTCAAAAATAATGGAACAAATGTGTAAAAGTTTAGGATTAGTTTTATTAATAAGAAATGTGACATACCTATCTAGAGTTTAAAGTAGAATAATAAGATGAGATTATGTTTTAAAGATAAGAAAAATATCTCTGGAAGAGATATATAGAATGTGACTTCTAAATTGCTACATTATAATGTTAACCTGAAAAAAAAAAATAGAGGCCTTAGGAATTGATATGAAAACTTCATTTCAACCAGAATAGCCTGGAAGTTAGGAGAGGACATTTCAATAGAAAGAACACAGTAATCAGATGTTGAACAAGAATATTAAGTATTCAGTAGATAGATGTTGTATGGCTCTTATGTCTGCTTGTACAAAAGAATAAAAACACACAAAGGAAATTTGCATGGGGAAATAGAAGAAATGTTGGCCAACGGGCTAGAAGAGCTGAGAGTGCTTCTCACATGGCTTACTCTCAGGACAGACTTCTGAAAATAATTTGGTTGGTTTTTAAAGTTGAGGCTATGCCAAACCTCAGAAGCCTCTGCTGGAACAGCATCTGACAAAAATTTAGTGGAGCAGTTTATTTTGATTGACCCGTAATAGTTTTATATCACACGTAAACAAAAGCCATCCGACAATTTCAAACTAACTTACTATACAGCGAAAGGTGTGTCCTTCCCATTCAAAGCTGTTTTTAAGAAAAGGAAGGCACAAAAAGATTTCTTCCATGTTTGTTTCTGTAGGAAGCCTAAGGATTAGACATTATTCAAACTTATCCATAAATGGATTGAGACACAGGAATAAGTTGTGCATTTTCTGCTGCTCTTGAACTTTCTGTGGCCTTGAGAGGACTACACAACACAAGACTATGAGTAATTGCTGAACTGATAACCCTGGCCAGCTGCTAATTCTGATCTGAGTGATAAGCTGTAATTATTTTAGCTAATATTTGTTTTAATACAAAAGGCAAGAGCGATAACCTCATCTTATTAAACACGTGGTTTAAATACTTTTGCTTGAAAATAAAGAAACCACACATGATATTTCAATACGTGAAAGAGGAACATTGGCTGAACAATTGAGTGTTGAAGTCTGAAGAGACAGGAAGTGCTCTGTGTTCTCACTCTGCTGCCTGGGAAGGACAAACTGCCTCCCCTGTCCAGTGCTTACTCCCAAATCTGGCTCCAGTAAGGAAGAAATTGAGCAAGTTCTCAGACAAGTTTGAACTTGCCAGAGCCCATAACTTCTACTTCTCCTCTGTCAGTACTCCTTTAGAAATATAATAATAATAAACAATATTTAGAGAAGCTCTTTTGAAGGGAATGAATTCAAACTGTATCATCTTTCATTTTTAAGCTATTTATGACAATGCAGCTATACTAAACTAGTGAGATAAGATGGCTTAGATTGAGCTATTTTATCTTCAGTCAAGTAACTCCCACAGAACCTTCTCCCAAGACCATGGTGAACTGGCTTGGATTTTCCACTCTAGTCAGCAGGCAGACTTGCATTTGAACTGTGGGTCTGTCATTTAAACACTGTGATGGATAACAATTTATTTAACATTTTGAGCTAGAAGTAGGTTTTATAGCATAATTTCTTCATGGCATTTCTAGAAGATTGAATCAAATTGTATATTGAAAATGGTAACCCAAACTCTTCAAGGAGCAGACATTTTTAACAATTCTTATCTAAAAGCATTATTAGGACCTCTCCTGCATTAGGATCCCAATAGGTTTACAGAGTGATCATTTCTATTTGTCTACACAGGATCAAGGAAGAAGCTGACATTCCCTCAGTGAAGTCTATCCAGCCACAAAAGGAAAACCCATAGAGTGGTTATAGATCATTTATATTTGCTTCTTCAGCATGCAGGAAAACTACAGTGGAGAAACTCTGCTTTCAGCCAAAGGAATGATAGCCAAAGAGGGGGAAGAACATCCATGTTAATGCGGGCTCCTTATTGCTTCTTTTTTATTTTATTTTTTATTTTATTATTAGTTACATTTTATTAACTCTGTATCCCAGCTGTATCCAGCTCCCCCATTCCCTCCCAATCCCACCCTGCCTCTCTCATCTCCTCCCTGCCCCTTTCCAAGTCCACTGATTGGGGAGGTCCTCCTCCCCTTTCATCTGATCCTGTTTTATCAGGTATCTTCAGGCCTGGCTGCAAAGTCCTCCTCTATGGCCTAGCAGGACTGCTCCTCCCTTGGGTTTGGGGAGGTCAAAGAGCCTGCCATTGAGTTCCTGTCAGAAATAGTCCCTGTTCTCCTTACTAGGGAAAACCAATTAAATCACACATTGATCCCAACACCTTATTGCTTCTTGTGATGATCCAGGTCCTACCTGGGCTACACCATCAGATACAAGAGTTGTGTCATGGGAAACA